ATTTATGTCCACCTTTGTTTTTGTATTGGTAGACACTATCACTTTCATGGCTGCCCTATGGTCTGACCACCACTTTTGTGATTCTCCTGCAGAGGTTTTGCCTCTGCAGAAGTAGATATTCCGGTTTCTTCTCTGCCTGCTAGAATGACAGGGCAGGTGCGTATCTTGCCAGGTAATCTGTGCACAGGTCAAGTTTGTATAAGATTTGGAAGAGAGTTAGTTTGAAGTTGACTTTTTTTTTTTTTTATAGGTAATTTATGGTAGTCTCAGGAGCAGAAAACTTCAGTTTCTCCTGGCATCACCAGGAGAACGAACTTTCAGTATGTACATGAAACCTTGAAGTACTAAAATATACTGATGATAGCTCTAAAATAATTCACTAATGGCATTTATGAGGAGGAGACACTTACTCTGGTCATGATTCATTTAATCTTTAAAGTTCTTAGATGAAAAGAAATAAAAGGGAAAAACCTTTTACGAAGTTATGTGTTTTGGGGATTGAGGAAACCAGCTGGTTAGGAAGACAAAAGAAAAACTACAAAACAGAATCTATACCTCAGTCATGAAAGGAAAAACAGAATCATAGGTGACACACTTGTTCATGGAGCAGTTTATGTTTGGGAAATAATGGAAAGTTGAGATTTTACACCAAATTTAGAAAATAACTAGATTTAGCTTCATTTGTGCACTTGCTTGTGTTACCCGGAGACTTTCCTATCCATCCCCAATATAAAAAGCACACAGTGCCAAGTCAGCAGTTTCAGTAGGTCTGTCATGATGTGGTCAGTGGTGTGTGCTTGTGTTTTGCTTTTAATAAATAACAGGATTGCCAGTGAATTCCTAAAACAGTCTCAAGAATCTGAAAACCAACATCTAAGTTAGTCATCTCAACTTCACTAGAGACTGGAAATAATTGTATCGCAGACATAAAATGTCTTGTCTACATTGTAAAACGCAAGCATTACTTTGAGAGATGCGTAGTTTTTTATGATGATAGTGTTATACTGAAGAATGGCTTGTCTTTTGGTTTCTTGATGTCCTGTGTCTTTTCTGTTGTACTTTAAAAAAGCAACTAACAAACAGAAAAATTAACTACTCTCCCCCTACCCAAACACAGAATCCGAAACAAAAACCAAAACCTGCCCAAACCACAAATGCTTTAAGATCAGGTTAGAAATTAAATCTGACAAATCTTCAGGCATGTGACAGTGTTTAATGCCAATAAGGTTTTATGTGAAATAGAAATTCTAATTCTTAGTTACTGCAGAAATGCTCTTTGTGTGCATAGGATGTATATGACTGTAAAACTTGGGGATGGATGGGGCAAGGCAGCCTGATTTTTTTCATAATTCATAGCACTTTGAAAGTGTTTTTTTGGTGGAGGGTGTGGAGTAGCGTGGCTTGGAACAGTCACTCATCTTGATACCAAAATTGACCTAAGTTTGCTAACATGTTTAGCATGTTCTGTGTGTTTCAGCTTTGTTACCATATACCTATATTTGTGGTACAGTCTAAGTTGATTTCCTTAGTCTATACTGCATTTGTCTTATTTAATGAGGATTTGCTCCACCTAAACATAAATGAACAATAATTGTGTCAGCTAGATGTTGGATTTGAGAATTGATTCTATAAAGTAAAATGGCCTACATTCCTCGATTGTTCTAGAGATGCTGATTTTAATTTCAAAAATATTTACTCATTTTGCTTTGTGCACACACTACAGAGCTGTGATTCTAGTTCATGAGCAGGTAGAATTTAAATTTAAATGGATTGTACCATACTAAATGTAACAGTTGATCCGTAGATTTCATTCATTTAATACAATTTAGTAATATTGTTAAAAAATTTTGAGGTTGATGTCAAGGTATGACTTGGGTCATGTAAAATAAAAGACTTCGAATGTAAGGATTGGGGCAATTGTCATGTAGTGTGGCTACCATGAAAAATACCAGCTTAGTGCAGGGAAAGGTAATTTAGTGTTGATATCAGAGTTCTTGTTATGTCCAGATTCAGATATGTTTGGAAAAACTGGTGAATATTGTTTCAGTGTGTTCCTACAGTTAACTGCAAAAGTGCTTCTGTAATGCCATGAACCAACTTTATTCTTTCTTCTTCTCACTCCACAAACAGTGTAAAAAACCAAAGGCTGAAAAATATGTACCTTAGGTAGACATTGTATAAGTTCATAGTATTACATGGGTTTTATCTTTGTGGGAGTTAAATGAAAATAATCAAGTGTGTTATCATGGGTGCTGTGGTGTTTTCCCAGTTTCCACTGTTCCCAGAACTCAGTTGAGCAAATATAACAGACCAGAAATAGCGGGGAGGAGTAGCACATACTGGTACTGTAATTTAAACACATAGTCTGGGAAGCATTACCGTGCAGTGTTTTTACATCTGCATGATCTTTACTTGCTTTTGTTGCTTTGCAAAATTGATCAGCAGAAAAGTGAAAAAATATTCTAAAGTATGAAGGTTTGTATATAGTCCAGTATATATAGGGTGGTCTTTACTGTGTCGTGTTCTGCTTTATAAATAAATAGACTAAAAAGGAAATAAAGGAGTCTTGTGGCATGTGGCATGTTTCTCAGTAGAGCTGAATATTACTAAGCAGATGCAACCTCTGTTAAGTGAGTTGTATTGTGGAAATGAATATGGCAGCAACACCATTTTAATCAATGCTGTAGTAACAGAGGGTTTCCTGTACACAGGGGAAAACTGACAGTAGTTGCCACATACAGACAAAGCAGAGCTTTTTTTACTAGTATTTTTGTACAAGTAGCATTCCTG